AACTGGCGCGCCCGGTGCCCTGCTCCCGGCCGCGCCGCCGCCGCCCATGGCCTCTGCGGTCCTAGAGCCTGCCCTGTAGGGCACGTCTGCAGCCCCGCTCCCCCGCTCGGCTGCGGGTTCGCCCTGCCCCCGGGCCGCTGTGAGGCCGGCGTGTCCTGCGCTCTCCGCCCGCCTCCGACCCCGCGGGCCCTCCGCCTTGGGGCTGAGGGTGCGGGGACGGCCCTCACGCATGTTCACTTCTTCAAATCTGGCCCTCTTTGAAAAAAGTTTGGACACCCCTGCCATAATGGCATTTGCCTTTTTTTTTTGGCAAAGTGTTACACTGCTGACATATTTACTTTATGGTCCACTATGAACCACAGATCTCATTCAGCAGTACTCGTTCCTGGGCAATCACTTCCCATTTTGTGTGTGCGCAGCTTCTTATTCCTAAGTGGAGTACTCTGTATTTTTCCTTATTGAACTTCATCCTGCTTACCTCAGACCATTTCTCCAGATCATTTTGAATGTTAATCCTATCCTCCAAAGAACCCTTCCCAAGTTGGAATTTTCCACAAACCTTTTAAATACACCAAGGGGATTCTGCAAAGTGAATATAAGGGTTCCATGAGAAAATTCCATTACAATAACATTTTATTATTTTAAAAAATAATTAATGTTTAAGCATTTATGAATTTCATTGAAAACAATTTTCATTTGTGTTTGCCATGATAAGTGTCCCTGTATAATGCCAGCTTAGCCAGAGAGTGGAGACAATGATGTCACTTCAGTCAGTCAGTGGTGCAATCGCCTGTTATAAACCACCGTAGATCCCCATACTCACTCGCAGGGAGCATGGATCACATGGGTGACTGAATATGAATATAGTAGCAGCACATTTGACAGCTGAAGCTTTGACTTTGTCCAACCAGTTGGGGTTCCTCAAAATTCTTTCGAGTTTAAAAGGGTTCTGTGGCCAAATAAAATTGGGAAACGCTGATCTATGCCATTTTCTGAATCACTGATGGAGATATTCGAAACAACTGGACCCAGAATGTATGCCTCTGGGATCCTGCTCATTATGCCATTCCAGCACAATGTGAGCCATTGACAATTACTCTCTGGGAATGGTTACCCAACCAGTTATGCACCCACCTTTTAAATAGCTCTGTCTAGGCTGTATTTCCCTAGTTTGTTCATGAGGTCAAGCAAGAAATTATCAAAAGACTTACTAAAGTCAAGATATACCACATCTACCAGGCTTATTATCCTGTACCGAAAAAAAAAAAAAGAAGCTCTCAGGTTGATTTGACATGATTTGTTCTTGACAAATCTATGTTGACTTTTATTACGTTATTATCTTCCAGATGTTTGCAAAGTGAGGGTACGTCTAGACTACATGCCTCTGACAACAGAGGCATGTAAATTAGACTACCCGGCATAGGAAAATGAAGCGGCGATTTAAATAATCGCCGCTTCATTTAAATTTAAATGGCTGCCGCGCTGAGCCGATCAGCTGTTTGTCGGCTCAGTACGGTAGTCTAGATGCTCTGCGGTTGACATCAAAGGCATACCTGGGAGGTCGACAAATGCCTTTGATGTCGACCACGGAGCGTCTAGACTACCGCGCTGAGCCAACAAACAGCTGATCGGCTCAGCACGGCAGCCATTTAAATTTAAATGAAGCGGCGATTATTTAAATCGCCGCTTCATTTTCCTATACCGGGTAGTCTAATCTACATGCCTCTGTTGCCAGAGGCATATAGTCTAGACATACCTTGATTGATTAATTATTTGCTCCATTCTCTCTCCTGGTACAGAAGTTAAAGCTGAATGATCTGTGACTGCCCGAGATGTCTTTATTTCCTTTTTTACACATTGACTCTATATTGTCCTTTTCCAGTCTTCTGGAATCTCTCTCCTGTTTTCTATGACTTTTCAAAGATAATTGCTAACGGCTCAAATTTCTCCGCAGTCAGCTCCCTGAGTATTCTAGGGTTTATTTAATCAGGCCTTGGTGACATGAAAACATCTAACTTTTGTAAGTAAATTTTAATTTGTTCATTCCCACTTTTAACCTCTGATCCTACCTCACTGGCATTCACTATGTTAGATGTCTAACCACCATCGTTCTTGGTGAAAACTGAAACATAATTGTTAATCACCTCTGCCATTTCCACATTTTCTGTTTTTTTCCCCCTCATTGAGTAATAGGCTTAGCATGTCCTTGGTCGTCTTCTTGCTTCTAATGTATTTGTACAATGTTTTCTTGTTACCCTTTATGTTTCTCGCTAGTTTGAGCTTGTTTTGCACCTTGGCCTTTCTAATTTTATACTACATACTTGTGTTATTTGTTTATATTCATCCTTTTTAATTTGACCTAGTTTCTACTTTTTGTAGGACTCTTTTTTGACTTTTAGATAATTTAAGATCTCTGGTTAAGTCAGAGTGACTTTTTGCCATACTTCCTGTCTTTCCTACTCAGTGGGATAGTTGTGCCCTTAATAATGTCTCTGAAAAACTGCCACCTCTGTTGATCTGCTTTTCTTCTGAGACTTGCTTCCCATGTGATCTTATGTACCTACTCCTTGAATTTGCTAACATGTATCTTCTTGAAATATACCATCATTATTTTGTTATTCTCCCTTCTATCATATTCTACCATTTCATGATCACTTTCACCCAAGCTACCTTCCACTTGCAAATTCTCAACCAATTCCTCCCTGTGTCAAAATAAAATCTTAAACAGCCTCTTCCATAGTAGCTTTTTCCATCTTCTGAAATAAAAAATCACCTTCAATAAACTACAGAAACTTGGAAAAAATCTGTGCCCTTCGGTGTTATTTTTCTAACAGATGTCTGGACAGTTGAAGTCCTCCCTCCCCAATCATCACTAAGTCCTGTGTTGGGATGATTTTATTAGTTGCTTTAAAAAGTCGCATCCAACTCTTCTTTCTGGTTAGGTAGTCATGGTAGAGGTCTACTACAGACATCACCCTTGGTTTTTACCTCTTAACCCTACCCAGACACTTTAAACAAGTTGGTCTCCTATTTCCTTCTTAACTTCAGTACAGGTATATACACTTTTTATATATAAAGTAACACCTCTTCCCTTTTCTCTTAAGCATGCTATTCCCTTTTATACTGATATTACCCTCATGTTTATTATCCATCTGTGGTACCACTTATGTCACCGTTGTGTTTATTAGCATCCTGAGTTCTTGTTTATTTCTCTTACTTCTTGCATTAGTATTATACAGACATCTAAGATACTGATTATATTCAGCCCCTCCATTTTGTCTTGTCTCTCCCTTATGTCTGTTATAACAGCCCATGCTCCTTGGAAATTCTGACCTTTCTCCATGTTTTTACATTACCTGTGGGCTTAAATCACCTGCTCCCTTCAAACTGTTCAAAGCCCTCCTCACTAGGTTAGTCAGTTTGTCTCCAAATAGTCTTGTCTCCTTTCCCAATAGATGAACCCCATCTCTGCTTATTAATCCTTTTTTCTGGAACAATATTCCATGCTCAAGAAAGCTGAAGCCCACATCATCCGCACAGCCAGGCATTTCCCTCCAGAACACATCTGTTTCTGTTTGGACTGCTACCCTTAACCAGAAGGATTACAGAAAACACCACCTATGCTCCCAATGCTTTCTCCCCTACTTCTAGAGACCTGCAGTCACTTCTAAGCTACTGAGGATCATACCTCACAGTAACATTAATGCCCATGTGGAAAAGCAGAATGGGGTACTAGTCAAAGGGCTAGATGATCCTTGGCAATCCCTCTGTAAAATCTCAGATGTGGATCCCTGGTAGGAAGCCTACCTCCCAGGATGCCATATCAGGGCAACAGATGAGGGCCTCCATCCCGTCTCAGAATAATCATGAACCATCAGTGCCCTGCATTTCCTTCTGAGGGTATGTCTACACTACATGGTTTTTTTGACAAAAGTGGTCTTTTTTCGAAAACACTTCCCCTGTGTCTAGACTGCTGCTGCGTTCTTTTGAAAGTAAATCGAAAGAACGTGGCAGTTTTTTCAACCGTAGAAAACTTCATTTTACGAGGAAGAATGCCTTTTTTCAAAAGTGCTCTTTTGAAAAAAGGCACTATGTAATGCAAACTGTGCTTTTTTGAAAGTCAGCATCCAGACTGCCTGGGTGCTCTCTTTTGAAAAAGTGGCTTTTTCCATGTGATAATCAATTTGTACAAAGTGATGTATTCCTGTCTATGGCAAACAGACATCATACAATTGTGCTAAATATAGTCATAACTAAATATATGGGTGTAAATTAGGGATGTAAGTGAGTAGCCGAGTACTTGACTACCTGATAAGCCTAAGCTCAACTACTCTCTTGCCCCCTTGCTGTCTCTGATACAGAGGCAGCAAGGGAGGACAGGGGAAACAGGAGCCGGTGCTGGGGTTAGCCAGCTTAAAAGCCTCTATCAGATGCAGCAGCAGGTGTGGGGGGACGAAGGGGAAGCTACCGTGAAGCAGCCTCTGCCTGCAGTGGGCAGAGGCTCACCATGGGCAGAGGACGCTCTGGCAGCAGCCTCTGCCCATGGCCAGACCAGGATGCCATGAATAAGGGCTACTAGAACTGGCATGAGCCAGGACTGAGTAGTCCTGGCTTGTGCCGGTCCAGGACTGCTGTGGCTCTGCATTTTAAATGATTTCGGTAAGACAACTAGCATTAATAATGGACTGCATGGTGTTGCCTGTGCATTGGTCACCATTGTTCTCCAGCTTCCATAATTTAAGATACTATATAATAACTAAAAAAATCACTTCTTGGTGTTCACAAGTAAAGCCACAGCTGAATTTCAGTTTGAAATATCACAGTCCTCGGTAAGAAACAAAACTCTGATAAGAAGTGGGTTGTGCCCACAAAAACTCACGATACTTTCGATATATATTTTTGGTTAGTCTCTAAAGTGCTACAGGACCAGTTATTTTTAAAAAATGTTTAAGTTACAGACTAATATGGCTACCCGAGACCTCTGATAATTTTAACTTTATTCAACATTTTTTCGAACTTATCTTCATTCATAATTATTAAATTGCATTACAATTGTGCAACTCAGTACAACCATAAGGTTGTACATTTGTGAAACAAAGCCTGAACAGTAGTATTAACTCAGTGACCTTATATAGGTGCAATATTTTCAGTTCATTTTCTTGAATCTAAACTGAGCTTACACTGGCTTACTCTTGGGCTGAATTTAGCTTAACATGTGCAACATAGTTATTACTGATTGTTACTCTTCCACTTCCTGATTTTTTTTATCAATTTTTTCACTTTGTAAAATAAGGTTTTTGTTTAATCTGTAGTTTCTATTAATTTTTTTATTGAAGTTGCTTAACCAAAACACTTCTTCTTAGCATATGCACCATGTACCTCCAGTGTCAGCTGACCAAGATCCATCACTAGATTTGGTCAGCTGTTTGGATCACTACCTTCCTCAGACTGGGCCAGTTATTGACAGAAAGTGTGCTGGGAATGCTGGTCCATGTGCCCGCCACATCACAGCCAATCAAACTACTTTGTTAAAATTCTGCTCTGTCAGCATAGGAAGTCACATACTTCAGGAGATGGAATTGGGGGTTGGGAACCTACATCTCACAATTTTTCAAATAACTATTATAATGAAGAAATTGCTAAAAAAAAAAAATTCAACCTTAATGGGTGATGCTTACTGGGTAATGGTTAACCATTACCAGGGAACAGCCTCCTCACCAGCAGTTCCAGACTCCCAGCCCATGTAGGCAGGTCACCCACCTGCCCTAGGCCCCCCACCTGCCCTCCAGTTAATCAGTTAACCGGTTAAACTTAATGTTTAACTGGCTAATTAATTAAATGGGATTTTTTGTAACGTTAAAAGAATGTGAAACTAAGGTTTTAGAAATCATCAGTCCCAGCAGTTCTGATATGACAAACCACAATTTCCAGTTTCCTCTCGATTAAATCCAGCACTTCTTTCCCAAACTCCCATCTCCTGTCACTTCCCTTACTTTTTAGTTGATAACCAAATGTCTAGCGAAGAGTACCTGGCAGTACTTAAACTTATCCAGTCATCCAAAGGCCATCAAGCTGAAGGCATAATGTGAGATTTCTGAAAAAGGCAACTACCATTATGTCTTTGAAAAACCACAAATTACCGTTTTCTGTGCTCCATATTTTATTCTGAGACCTCACTTCCTCAATCTATTGTCAGCGTGGCACAGTGTCCGTTATCACGTCAGTTATGTTATTTAAGACAAGATAAAGTATCACAGTTCAATGCAGCTTTACGCTGACAGCGTCTGGGACCAAACCTAAAACTCTGAGAAGTGCAAAAGAAGAATTATCAACTTTTAATATCTTTGAGCATGTTGGTAAAGTTAAACCATCCTTAAAGGGAAATGCAGGACAATGTAGCACTTTAAAGACTAACAAGATGGTTTATTGGATGATGAGCTTTCGTGGGCCAGACCCACTTCCTCAGATCAAATAAGGCACTGCTACCACATGCAAGACAGAAAGGCTGCCCCCAGCAGAATCCTCTTCGTGCATTATCTATACAAACACACATGTAAAACACTGACAGTCACATTTGCATCTTCCAGTCCCCACTCACACTTTCAAATGCAGCGTCCCCTTCTCGCAGGCAGCGATATCACTACCAATATGTATATGCGATGCAATTACGAAGCTACATTAACACAGACCTACACACTTTTGCAGAGCCACACGCTGTGGACGCTTGCACCCGGCCTACGCACCTGCACAGCTCACTGCTCACTTCCAGCTACTCATCATCTTCCAGTCCCCACTCACACTTTCAAATGCAGCGTCCCCTTCTCGCAGGCAGCGATATCACTACCAATATGTATATGCGATGCAATTACGAAGCTACATTAACACAGACCTACACACTTTTGCAGAGCCACACGCTGTGGACGCTTGCACCCGGCCTACGCACCTGCACAGCTCACTGCTCACTTCCAGCTACTCATCCGCCCTGT